TTCCTTATCTTAGAAGTTTTTTTTGTTTTGTTTTTGAGACACACTAAACATTTGGTGTTTGTTACGTGTCCATATAACCTTGAATACTTGAAGTACAGGATTATGCCATCCTGCCCAAATGCTACAAAACGTGAGGCTCAACCTTAGCGTTTGTTTATTTGTTCACAATTAACTGGCTTGCACGCCAAAGAACCCTATAGTACAGGCATAGACGTCCATAATTTTGGACTGTGGACTTTTAATGCGAAAACAACCAGTTGGCAGCGTCCACTGCCCCAAGCGGCTACTCTTAACCAAATAGTAAGATTAACTGTCTTTTTTAAGACATTTACAGCTGAAAGTGCCAAAAGTGTTTGGAAGCACCACGTCTCAAACCCGGGAACCTGGAATCACCAATCCAATATGTTTACCACTACACCATTCTCAGGCTCAACCTGAACAAAAAAATTACACTATGTCATGACATCAAAGGCACAGATTTTGAACATATGTAAAGGCAGGAGTTAGAAACACCAAGGTGGTGATCTACTTCTACTTCTATTACTTTTGTTTGTTTTGAATTTCGCACAAAGCTACTCGAGGACTAACTGCGCTAGCCGTCCCTAATTTAGTAGTAATAGACTAGAGGAAAGAAAGCTAGTCAACATCACCCACCGCCAACTCTTGAGCGAGCTACTCTTTTACCAATAAAGAGAGGGTGTTACTTTTGAAGTATAACCCATCCACTCCCATGCAGCTCGTCGACAAAATGATTAAGAGTACCACATATGGATAAGATTATTCATGCTTATAAATTTAATACGATATTTGTACTTGCATAAAGTCCACCTAAGCACAAATTTGTAAATTTGGGGCAACATTTGTAAGTTTAGCTTAAACTTAAACATTTTAAAACATCCTCACGTAAAATATTACTTGATAATTTTAAACTTTTATTTCTGCACTTGGTGGTAATTGTTAGTTTGGTATTGACACATTTTTTTTAAGTCTTTCTCTCTCAAAATTAGTAGTTTTTTTAACTTAAAAACTCATTTTATTGTTTAATGAGTAATTGGATGCAATAAAAATTTGCTCTCTTCCTACGAAAAATCTTAAATGCTTTAGTGCAAAATGGAAAGTCACACAATCAGAGGGTAACATTCATTATAACACTACGGTTATTTGGTTTGACAGGTTAAGCTGTTAAAAGTAAAAAAAAAATAATTCTTTCTTTTATTGCTTTTGAAATGTAATATCAGCTCGTCATGCAATTCAACAAGATAATGACTAAGTTTGTTTTTGAATTTCGCGCAAAGCTACACGAGGACTATCTGCGCTAGCGGTCTCTAATTTAGTAGTGTAAGACTTGAAATATGGGCCTTTCTTCTTCAGGGGCAAACTGAAGTAAGATCCACCTTTTGAAAGCACTCGGGTTATAAGGTTTGTATTCATTTCTGTCAAGACTTCTTGAACCTATGTGTTTTCTAACATCATGCATGTAATTATTGATACTCTTTATAGATGGCGCCCCCACCAGTTTAGAGAAATGTCAGAAAATGAAATAAACGGGTGTTTGTATTTGTTGTTAACCAATCCTACGAAACAAGAAAAACCTTTTCCTTGAGTTGATATCTTAATTTGATATGGTGAACAATTTCTACGTATTTCTGAGAAAATAATCAAATACTTAGAATTAAGAACAATTATAAAAATATGAGCAAAAATGAGGACTATTTAGGTAGCACTTAAAAGAAATTCACATGGTTACCTCTGTTCTATTACTGGATTGCGTATAATATTTTAATGTGTAGTCTCAATGAGAAATATTTCCAATTTTCGAATATCATAACGCACTTTGAGTAAATAGAGCAAATGTTATTACGTTTATAAAACAAATACAACAACAAGAATAAAGCATACATAGTCACATCAATACATTCACTCGTATCTGTCTGCCCTTGGTCAGTAGTCGCCTTTTTGTAAAGGTAGTCACTTCTTTCGGTTCGACATAAGTGTGAAACCAATAGTGCGAGTGCGCTTTGTGAACCAGGTAGTCACTTCTTTCGGTTCTACATAAGTGTGAAAGCAATAGTGCGAGTGCGCTTTGTGAACCAGGTAGTCACTTCTTTCGGTTCGACATAAGTGTGAAACCAATAGTGCGAGTGCGCTTTGTGAACCAGGTAGTCACTTCTTTCGGTTCTACATAAGTGTGAAATCAATAGTGCGAGTGCGCTTTGTGAACCAGGTAGTCACTTCTTTCGGTTCGACATAAGTGTGAAACCAATAGTGCGAGTGCGCTTTGTGAACCAAGTGAAGTGAAAATACTTTTTGCGAAATGCAGTGTTGAGAGCAAAAATAACATCCCTGACGCCCCCTCCCCAGTGGCACAACGGTATGTCTGTGGACTTACACCGCTAGAAACCGGGGTTCGATACCCGTGGTGGGCAGAGCACAGATAGCTTTGTGCTTAACTACAAACAAACAACCCTGACAACTCAGCACCGATGAAGTATTCCCTAAACAAACTTTTAAAATGTTACAACTTGTTCACAAGCTGTATTTTGTTTGGGATCAATTACTCCTGGTTTTATCAAGTGATTATTGTCCACTCGGAGTATCAAACAGTTCCCATTAAATAGATCTTAACTATGCAGCTTGAGTGTTTAAATATACCGTGACTATGCAACTTGACTTTTTAAATAAATCATAACTAATTAACCTGACTTTTTATATATACCCTAGGGCCCAGGCTATATATACAGCCTGACTGTATGAGGTAAGATATAGCTCAGTCAGACTTAGTTGGGAATTTTTGGTTGAACAAGTAGCAGGCCAGCTATAAGGTCGACGTAAATTACAGCTAAGCAGAAATATGAAACTCTTTTACCAACGAATAGTGGGATTGAACGTCACATTATATGCCCTCACGGCTGAAAGAGCGAACATATTTGGTGTGACGGGGATTCGAACCTGCGACCCTCAGATTGCGAGTTGAGCCCCCTAACCACCTGGCCGTGCCGGGCCCGTGAAATTAGTCTACTTGTGTTGATGTAATTTGATTATACAATTGCACCGAAACTTGCTAGTTATTTCTTCTTTATGAACTGTACTAGTTAAAATCTTAGCATACTACTTACTAAGACTTTCTTTTGAACAACGTTGCTCTGATTTAAAAAAAAGACTTTGAAACAAGATTTTCATATCTCCTTTTCTATTATACGTTAGTTTATTTTAAGTTTTATAAAGTTCACCATCTATAAGAATCTATGGACATACCATGCTTTTATTTAACAATATTCGTTAATAATTTTCTTAACAATATAAGTTATATATGAAAGCTTCGTATCAGCATCATTATCGGTACTAGTTACACAAAATCCGTGTAATTTTAACGTGAGAAATGGCAATTATAAATCATTAATACAGGTTAAAATATGATGATAACTTGATGATTGAAAATAGCTAAAAACAGCTCTTAATGCTTGAACGTTTAGTTCATTTTTTGATTCTAATATTTTTTACTTATAATGATATTGTCAAGTACAGTCTCTGTAACGCATCAAAATAGAATAGTAACAAGAAACCAATGCGCCTACTGAAGTAGCTGAGAATTTACGTCTTGTGTTTTTGTCGTCTGTGAACTTTGCTTTGAAATATATTTTGGACACAAGATCTGCATCTGAAAAAAAAAATCAAAGTTTGCAATAAACTTCGATATTTTTCTGTTTATCGTGGTAATATAATACTCAGGGTGATGCTACTATATTCCCAGTCCTCTGATAGCATTACAAGTATAACTGAACGTCCCATTATTGGCTTTCTGCTGTTAACGACTGCAATATGAGACGTATAAAATGTTGTTATTTTCCTTATTTTCTTTTGCTGTTGAAAGCATTATTAGAAGAAAGACAACGAATAAAAGGATGTTTTTGCTATTTTGTACGAATATGAAAGTTCATGCCATTATACAGGCTCAACTAACCATAAGCTATTTAAACACGTTGTTACCTATTCAACAAGATTAAGTTTCAATGCATTGGTACTTAGTTAGGAAATAGCAAAATAGAAGTGTAATCCAGTGGTTTTAACCATAATTTATGGCACACTATAGAAATAGAAATAACAACGGACAGACATGCCAACTTCAAATAATCTTTGTAAGGGTTAATATACAATAAAAACAGTCACAAATATTAGCACTCGTGAATCTTTTTGTCAAGTATTGAGATTATAATCAGAATTACCCATCATTAGGCTTCAGTCATCCTGAAAAGTTTATTGGCCAACATTCGAATAGTTTTAATGAACATAGATTTCTCCACTAAGCTTCTTTGTTCAGGGGTAGAATGTACGTGTTTAAATTTGAATAGTTTTAATGAACATAGATTTCTCCACGAAGCTTCTGTGTTCAGGGGTAGATACAAACTAATTTAAAGAATAAGAAAATTTAAACACGTACGTTCTACCCCTAAACACAGAAGCTTAGTGGAGAAATCTATGTTCATTAAAACTATTCAAATTTAAACACGTACTTTCTACCCCTAAACACAGAAGCTTAGTGGAGAAATCTATGCCAATTAAAACTATTCAAATTTAAACACGTACATTCTATCCCTGAATACAGAAGCTTAGTGGAGAAATCTATGTTCATTAAAACTATTCAAATTTAAACACGTACGTCCAACAAATTAAAATTGCAAAAGTATATTTGTTAATTGTTTCATGCGAATGCAACAAATTAGACAATATATAAACTCGATTCGTTGTTTCTTGTAAATGCTAGTTTTCTATTTTAATGCATTCTACAAACCGTTTTACATTTTTAAACTTCTTTAAATATTAATTATTTTATGATTATTTTTATGATTTCTTCAAAGAAAAAATAAAATACAGATTTTCGATCAAGTGTGAATATTATTGGTGTTTTGGTTGCTACGTTAATTGTATTGTTGTGAAAACGTTTTGCTGAAGTTATTCAGGAAAACACAGATTTGACTTAATGAAACTTTTGTCATCTTCAGAAATTATCTCACGTGTCAAGGAAACTAAGAAGCCACCGTTTCGGCCATTTCTTGATGAAGATACTTATGATGAAGAAGTGTTACAGATGATTAATAAATGTTGGGCTGAAGATCCAATGGAACGACCAGATTTTCATCTTTTGAAATCTGTGGTCCGTCGACTTAGCAAGTATGTGTTGGTAAACAGATCGATTTTATCCAAACCTCCGTATTTTAGTTTTACAAGTATAAATTACTACATAACAATTGTATCAACTCATAGCTCAATCCATTAACTTTCTGTTTTATATTAAGCATTAAGTTGTTAAAGATAACTAAAGTTAAAGGTTTTGTCATCGAGGGTTTAGGAGTAAATATTATTTCATGATGTGAATCAATAAAAAAAAAAGCTTGTTATTTGTTTTGTAAACAAAAATCATTGCACTGATACATGCCGCATTAGCAGTTTTTCTGATAAAGAATGCTATTTTGAAACCCTCCGGTGGAACAGCAGTAACTTTGAAGGCTTATAACGCTACAAACAGGGTTTTGATACCCGTGGTGGGAACAGCACAGAGAGCTTTGTGTTTAACTACAGACAAAACAAACAATTATTTTTGAAAATAAATTGGATCACAGAGAATCGCATGGAAGCCATTCTCCTGACTGGAAATGCTTACAACTATGTATTTTACTCTCACGTATTCAACGTTCGAAAATTAACTTGATAAATACTTAAGTGTTAGTAACATGTTTTGAGGACCTTTGGTTGGTTGGTTGTTTTGAATTTCACGCAAAGCTACATGAGGGCTATCTGTGCTAGCCGTCCCTAATTTAGCAGTGTAAGACTAGAGGGCAGGCAGCTAGTCATCACCACCCACCGCCAACTCTTGGGCTACTCTTTTACCAACGAATAATGGGATTGACCGTCACATTATAACGCCCCCCCCCCCGGCTGAAAGGGCGAGCATGTTTGGTGAGACGGAGATTCGAACCCACGACCCTCAGATTGCGAGTCAAGTGTCCTAACCACCTGGCCATACCGGGTCTTATCTATTTGTCACCAATATCCAATTAAAATATTTTTTTTTGTTATGGAATTTTCGGATATCGCTTCATAAAAGATTTATGCACATAGGCGTCACTAATTTTGAACTCATAGACTAAGAAGAAAGGCAGACGGTCAACAGTAACCACCGCCAACTCTTGGAATACTTTTTGCTGATTAAACAGTGGGATATGCCAGACTTTCATAGCGTATTCACGCTCACAAAACGTGGAGAGGGTTTTTGTTGGAACGGGATGCCGACGATAAATCCTTAGATTCAGAATCCTGCAAGCTAACCACTAACCCAGCACTATTAGTATTTTTACTGTCTAGAATTGAGATAATCAACCATTAAAATATCATTAACACGAAAGGTCATATAACTATATTTAAATAATAAAGATTAAAAGGTACTGTCAAAAATTGAAAAAAAAAACATGTGGGAACTGAAACATTATGAATTTGGACGAGGTTTATAAGATGTTAATTAATCCAAATGTTTTTTCGTCCAAGAAAGCGGGGGTGCCCCCCAGTGGCACAGCGGCATGTCTGCGGACTTACAACGCTAGAAACCGGGTTTCGATACCCGTGGTGGGCAGAGCAGAGATAGCCCTTTGTGTAGCTTTGTGCTTAACTACAAAGAAACAAAGAAAGCGGGAAGAAAATTTTTTATATAGGGAAAATTTTCTCTCAATAGTATAATAAAATAAAGCAAACAAAAGCAGAACCAATAATACAAAATATATCATTTTCACTTTCATAAAAACTGCTACATTTTCTATCAAATTTTTCGAGATTATTTTATTACTCTTTATTCAAGATAATGTACACATATTCGTTAATATTTTATATCTGAGGGACTTGTACTTGTAACATTTATAAATGCTCGTCTTGCTGTCACGAGTAAGGAAGTTTCATGTTTTTCTACTTTACCGGTTCATATTGTTTTAGGTTATGAAATATACACCTGGAAAAAAGTTAAGCCCCCCCGTGTTTTTTTCAAGTGATTCAGATTCGAC